GTCCTTAAATTATATTACCAGCCTGCACCGAAATTTCCATTTCCTATTATAGGCGTTGAGGGTCCACCACCCATGATAAAAGACACAGTCTGTGAGGCTGCCAAGCTACTGAATGTTGTTATAGATTGAACTGTGCCCCACCCTAAAAAAAGTTACTTTGGACTCCTAACCCCCAGTACCTCAGAATTTAACCTTAGCTGGAGATAGCATCTTTACAGAGGTAATCAAGTTAAAATGGCCCTGGCTGGTTTGGCTCAGTAGATTGAGTGCCAGCCTCCAAACCAAAGAGTGGCTGGTTCGATTCCCAGTCAAGGCACATGCCTGGACCCTAGCTGAGGGCACACAAGAGGCAACCACACATTGATATTTCTCTCCCTCTCTTTCTCCCTGCCTTCCCCTCTCTCTGGAAATAAATAAATAAAATCTTTTTTTAAGTTAAATTGAAGTCATTAGTGTGGGCAGTGTTCCAATATGACTATTGTCCTTTTAAAAAGGAGAATTTCTGAACACAAAGACACACACACACACAGGGAGTCTATGTAAAGACTGGAGTTACGCTGCCGAGGAACTACGAAAAGCTAGAAGACAGGCCTAGAATAGATCCTGCCCTAGCACCTTCAAGGGGGAGCATGACCCTGCACTCAGACTGCTGCCTCCAGACCTGAAGGACAATGAATTACTGTCGTTTAAGCCACTAGGTTTGTTAGAGTAGCCCTAGTAAACAGGTGTCATGAAGAAAATTAGCAGCCTGTGTTTATGGAGCACATACCAAGTGTTACTCTAAGTACTGAGCATCAAGACACTCATTTAGTCCTTACAAAGTCCACTCTAGGGTGTAGGTACTATAATTACACCCCTTTCACAGAGAAGGGCACCAAAGCTCTAACAGGTTAAGGAACTCACCCAAAATCAGCCAGGACCCCACTCTACCACTAGGCTATAAGGAACTATTATTAATAGTTCACTAAGCCAGACACTAGATCCTTTACAGATATAATGTATACAGCAGTACTCTAAAATAAGTGTTAATATTATTACCAATACAAAGGAAAGCCCTGAATATCAGAGAGATTAAGAAATTGCCCAATATCACACAACCAAGAACCATGACAGTGTATTTAATTGCCAACTTAAAGTAATAAACAATTAAAATCTTGTTATACTAAAACTATAAGAGCAAAAATTTCACTATAAGAGTGAAATTTCACTATAAGAGTGAAATTTTTCAATGCCTAATCTTATAATTCAATACTAGAAATACACATCTATAAATTCAGAATCCTTCAAGATCCCAGGAGAGGATGTGTCCTCGGTCACAGCACCCGTCTGTGCACGAGTCCCTTCAGTCACTGTCCAAGGGCTGCTTGGGCGTGGCTGTGGCCCCTTGCTCTTTTCTTTGACTTCCAGACACAGGAGGAGAAAAGATGTAGGGACTGAGATACTGTTCTGTGTTTTAAGTGTTTTTTTTTATTTCATATGTTTTTATTTTGATATAAACATCAAAACGTATTTAAAAATATAATACAATAAGACATCTTTCCTTCCCACAATGTGCTCTACCCGCGTAGTTCCTAGATTTACAGGTAACCAATGGCACTATTTTCTTGTTTATCCTTCTAAAGTTTTTAAAATGCATATACAACAAGCCAATACAAATTTTCTTTTGTCCATTTCTTTTTACACTGTTCTGCATCTTGCTTTTTATCATTTAACTGTGTATCTTGGTGATCTTTCCATATCATATTGAGTTATATTTTAATTCTGTCCTTCTGTTTGTCAAGGACACTTTTTACCTGCTCTCACTGTAATTCAGTCTGGCACAAAGTGCAACGAGAAGTCCGAGAGCTGAGACATCTGAGGCACCATGTCACACACCAAAGACCATCTATCCACCTCATCTTCACTTTGTGCTTTTCTCCCACCCATCCATCCAACTCTCCTCCTCCTCCTTGTTCCTCTACCGTCTCACCCATACCCTAACCCTGACAACTGGCCCTAGAAACAGCAAACATCACTGACATTGCTTAGTCGGGGCTACCAATAAAAAAGCTGGAGACCCCTGATATAGACAGGAAGGGGTAAACAATTTCCATAGGACCTTCTAATTAACAAGAGTGCTGTCCACAGACAACTGTAATTAAACAACAATAAAATAATTTAAATTAAAAAAAAAAAGAGGGCCTTCCATTGAGTTCCTGGTTGGAGTTATTTGTCCTTTGTTGTTAACTTATGTTTCCTTTGGTACTTTGGTTTGGGTAAAGGGCAAGTACTGGCACTACCTTCTAGAAGCCTGGGAATAAGCACATACTCAGGCCTACCATTTAAGTAATACCTGAATAAGAACTAGAGATCATTCCCAAATAAGATAATCAGAAGCAAAGCATATGAACTATAGAAAATGAACACTTTGGATCCAAAGTACACAATTTAATTAGGCTGGCATACTTTTTTTTACTTAAAAAATAAATCGCTGCAACCTAAAAATACTTCTCAAGAACATTTTAAAGATATTTACAACTAAAAAAGAGAATAAAGTTCTCTCTGTCTCCCTTTTTTTCCATCCTGCAAATTCAATACTATCATCTTCCCCCCAAAAGTGCCTTTTTTCCCTGCCCAGATCAAACACTATAATTTAAGGGTTTTTTTTAAGTAATAAAAGGAGGAAATTGTTAACAAATAAAAATTAATTTAGATTTAGAACAGGCTTTCCACTAGTAGGAAACATAAAATTAAGGCAGCCACATGAGTACATTCTTAAGTAGTTAACATGTGGGAACTTATACGGAATGCAACGCTGACTTCCATTCTGTGTTCCTACCAAGCCAGAGGTCTTTGGTACAACTTCAAGGGTTATTGTGGAACTATAGCTGACCCCTGAACAATGTGAGTTTGAACTGTGCAGAATTTTTTCTCCATAAATACTATAAATGTATTTTCTCTTCCTCATGATTTTCTTAACAAATGTTCTCTGACTTACTTTGTTTTAAGTATATAATACATATAACATACAAAATATGTGTTAATAAATTGTTTGTTATCTGTAAGAATGTCAACAATAGGCTATGAGTAGTTAAGTTTTGGAGGAGTCAAAAGTTATTCACTATTTCCCTGGCTAGGTAGCTCAGTTGGTTGGAGCATTGTCTGAATGCCCCAAGGTTATGGGTTCGATCTCCAGTCAGGGCACATACAAGAATCAACCAATGATTGCATGAAGGAGTGGAACAAAAATCGATGTTCTCTCTCTCCTTTCCTCTCTCTCTAAAATCAATAAATTTAAACAAAAATTAAGTTATTCACTATTTTCAACTGGCAGGAGGTGCGAGTCAGGGCCCCTAAAGTTGTTAAAGGGTTGTTAAAGGGTCAACTGTATGACAACCCAGGCTCAGAGATTTAGAGGTAAAATCTTTTTTTAAAAGATTTTATTTATTTATTTTTAGAGAGAGGGGAAGGAAAAAAAGCGGGAGAGAAATACCAATATGTGGCTACTTCTCAAGCTCTGCCCACTGGGGACCCAGCCCGCAACCCAGGCATGTGCCCTCACTGGGAATCAAACTAGCAACCCTTTGGTTCACAGGCCCGCACTCAATCCACTGAGGTACACCAGCCAGGGCTAAAGATAAAATCTTAAACAGCACATATACCTTAAAAAACAGGCCTCTGTGTATCTAATACATTAGTTAAAACCAATGTGACTATAAAATAAAACCCAATATATTGATCTCAGTTTTCTTGGATTTCTAGGGAACTAGTACCTATGGATATCCCCTTGCCTGCTTCCTAAAGATAATAAAGGCCACCAGCTCCTGGTGCCAAACACTCAGTACCAAAGAGAAATACTCTTGTACAAGGTCCTCTAATCCCTAAGGGTTCAGGACTTCTGACTGGGTTCCCCATGCTCCCCCTCCATTCTGCAGGGAGAATCGTGGAAAAATTGTGTCACTTCAACTTCCTTCACACTAATGTAAGCACTCATTATCCAACAGTAGCAGCTGCAACATAAATAAAGGTGAGAACTCAGTCTACATTTACCAAAAGATTTACAACAGCCCAAATGTTTGGTTTACACAGATTGTATTATTCTCTGATCTATACCATAGGGCAGATTACCACACAACAAATGACCTAACTACACTAATACCTAGCCCCAAAGGGAGGCAACCTGTGCCACCGGGTGAAGCTGGTAGAGAGTTTCCATCACTCCTTGTCTTCCTCTCTCCATCCGTCCTCCCATTTTCCTCCCTACGTATGTCTTAAGCTTTGCCCCTCTGCTTAGTCCTAATGCAGTGTCCTTTGGCCATCTATGCACAAGAGATTGGAAGGAGTCAAGAGACCTGAGACAGACCACATCAACAAGAGCTTTTTCATCTAAAGATCATCTTTCCACACTGCCCAAAAGAGGCTTATCCTGTGACATGAAACTTGGCATAAAGGGTTACCTGCTCAGAAAAATAGTGTAAATTCCCATGCAAAGGACTGGGAAGCCTCAGAATTCTCCAACAGCATTGTATACATAAAACAACAGGTCTTAGAATGTTCTAATATCCTAAATGAAGTTTCACAGTAAACAAGTGGTTAATGACACATCTTTTGTAACACATGAATCAGCTACAGATTTGCAAGAATGGGACACACCCTAGTACCCAGGACTCTAAAGTACCTGTTTGAAAGTGGATCTGGATGTCAAAATTGCCAATCCATCCTACTGAGATAGGAACAGAATTTTACAACTATGTGGGTTCTCCTAATATAAAATTAACGCATCATTCTAATGCAAGTTAGTTTGAGAACCTCACTAATATTTCAACTACACCAACCAAGAAAAGTAACAATACAAAGTAAGGAATAACCAATCAGTCCTAGGAAGCAAACACAATAGTAGTTTTTGAGGGGAAAGGAGTGTCAGGTAAGAGGGCTGAAGAACTGCGAATTTAAGAATTAGGATATTCTCAATTCTAAAAAAATAAAATGAGACCTTTAATTTTAAAAATAACACATCTTACCTTAAGAGGCATCCAAAGAGCACTCATAGTGTCAGCAATAGCTCAGACAATGCTCAGAAATGAAGGGAGTCTTAGTAATCCCTCAGTCACCAAGTATGAGCAGGTAGGAAAATTGTTTTGTTTCAAGAAGGTATCTGAAAGAGAAGACTTTCATTTAGACTAAAAGAATAATCAAGAATAAGCAAATAGTTTAAGCTATCTGGACAGAGATTTGAAGTACTGTTGCCTCACAATCCTTAAAAAAAAATGTACAAAACACAATCCTCTTTGGAAAAGGGCAAATGTGGGCATGTTATGTAGAAATATATTTTACATAAAAAGTGGATTGAATATGTAATACATACTTTAGATAATATAAAACTGCTTATCAAATAGAAAACCAAATCCCAGGTAGAAAAATGATTATCATAAAATTACTGGAAAGTGATGTGTTAACTGACCATCTAAAAAAAGACCCTTGCCATATTTAATTTGATTTAATGAAAGCCTCTCTGATCATTCCATTGTCCCAATTTTATTAAGTTTCAGGACCCATTCTACAGAAAAAAAAAATCTATTCTTAACTGAAGTGTAACAAGGAAGTAAAAGAACCTTCTTTCCTAGAGTTTTTAAAATCAAACCAAACTTAATTTTGAGGACCAGGGGCAAGGCAAGTTTGCCCGGAGGCAGGATGGATTAAATGACCTCTCTAGGATCCTTGTTCAAGTCATACGCCTGAATGAAAATTCCAGCTTAACCAGTTACTACTTTGCTTAAAATGGAGGCTTGCCGAGTAGGGACAAAAATAACAGCATCCACCTCTGTAAAATAAATCTCGAAAAATCAAAGACTATACAATACCCTCATTTCTTAAAGAAAAATTAAAAGTGAAAATCTCTGGTATAGATTTGTTCTTGCTGTGTGTTTGTCACTTCGGCTTGTAAGACTTGGCACCACTTTCTTAACGCTCATCGGATTTTTTTTTTTTTGGTCGGGGGGTGGAGGGGCGAGTTTGACTCTTGACCTTAAGTCTCAGTAGGCTTTAAGAGCCCTTCCAGGATCCCCACCGCAAAAGGCTGGGGGAGAGAAGAGAAAGGGGGCATCCTGAGTTCTCACCCCTCCCCCCACCTTGGACCCTGGTCCCAAACCTATCCCCCTCACCTTCCCGCAGGGGGGCGACTCCTTCTGCCCCATCCCCATTGTTAGGGAGGGGGCGAATGGGTAAGTGAGCCCAGGGCAGGGGCGCCTGCGGCCGTTGTCCCAGCTCGCTTCAGGAGGGGCGGCCCGGGGGATGCAGCTTCCCTTCCTCTCCGCGTCGGTCCGTCCCACCTCGGCCCGGCCTTGCACCCCGGGCTCTACTCGGCGCCCCCGGCCCCAGGCCCAGCCCCGGCCCAGCCCCGGCCCGCCCCCGGGCACCAGGCCCCCGACCCTTCGGCCGACGGCCAGCGGCCCAGAGGCCTGCGAGTGGGCGCGGGGCGGGGGTCCCTGTGCCCCACACACGCGTCCCGACTCCCCCAGCCCAGCCGCTTCCAGGGCCCTCGGCGGCGCCCGTTCACCGGGCCCTTCGGCTCCCCAACCTCCCGGCCGGGCCGCCCCCTCGGACTCCTGGGGACAGGACTGCCTCCCCTTCCCCACCATCACCCCCACCGACTCGTGCACCCACCCCTCGAGGCACCAGTGCCAACGGCGGCTCCCCGGGCCCCGGACCTACCTGCACGGCTCAACCAAGCCTAGAAGTGGGGGCGGGGATTCTTCCGCCCTCCTCTGTCTCTAATTGGCCCTTCCTGCATACATCGTAATTGGCATTGGCTGATAGCGGATGTCCGTCAGAACTGTGGGGCGGGACAGAAGGGGGAGAGGGATGCTGGTGCCCCGGCGTCTCTGTCTCTGTGTCTCGCTATCTCTGCCTCGGCTTTTAGAAAAGAGAGACATTTGGACGAGAGGACTGAAAGGAGGCCGGAGGTGGGAAGAACAGAAATAGGCATCCTGGCAGAGCTTCCCACCCGTCGGCCACTCCAAACCCTCTACCTAAATCCTCTTTAGATCCTCTTCTCCATCACCCCCATCCCCGGCCTCTCACCCTTGTAGGTTCTTCATCCAGGAAGCGATATGATGAAAACTCGAGGCCGGAAGGCCATAGGGGATATTTTATATGTGTATATATGTATAAAATATGCACATATTAATACTTATATATAAAGTCAACCAGATATAAGGTCACTAGAGCCTGGAGAGAGAAGGACACACATCTTACAAACAGGGAAGGACTTAAGATATAGCCAATACAAGAAGGAATCAAAAATGACTCAAAGTGCTACAAACAGTGGTTTCCTCCTGGACCAGAGAAATGAGTGCCTAGGGGGAGGAAGAAGGATATGCAGTGAAATATTGGTGGGAGGAAGACTAATATTTCACTGCATATCCTTTTGTATCTTTTGATTTTTGTACAATTCACAAAGATTCCAGTTTTCTTTAAGTAATCGGTTTAAATTTACAAATAATTCTAAGGTTGAAAAACCAGGGGGAGCAGACAAGATGGTCGTCCAGGCAAAGTGGGATAACGTTCAGATTTAGGGTGGAATCTTAGTTTTTAATACGTTCCATTCCAGAGGCCAGTGTCAAAACTAAGTGGAGGTGTCCCAAAGGCAACTGGAGTTACAGAACTTGGGAGAGGGTGGACAGTGTGGACTAGAGGAGATCTGGGGGTCTCCACCTAAATATGGTGATTGATGACAGGCTGAAGGATAAACTCCCCCACTGAAGTGTTAAAAGATACTCACACAAGGATGAAAAGAAACAGAAAAAGGGTCAGTGAGGTAAGAAAAAAAAACAATATAATATAACCAAAGACACTGAAATTGAGAACAGGCTGCCAGTGACCACAGGGAAGAGGGGAGGGAATTTCAGGGGGAAAGGGGAAGGGTTTGCAGGAACAAGCCTAAAGGACACATGGACAATAACAAAAGGGGGGGGGGTGGAAACAGGAGGGAGGTGAGGAAGTCTGGGGGGTGGGCTGGGATGGGTAAAAGGCAGAAAACTGTACTTGAACAACAATTAAAATGAAAATTTAAAAATTAAAAAAAAGGAAAAATTGACATTTAAGAGGCCTGAAAGTTAAAAGAGGAAGGGTCTCTGGAAAAATAGACTAATAGAACTATAAGAGCTTCATTGGTCTTGAGACTCACTTCAGGGACCCTCTTTAGGATCATTCATTAAGAATGAAAGCCAAGAAAATATCCACAAAGCCAAGTTCTTAATTTGTTCATACCACAGACCCTTTGGCAGTCTGGTGAAGCATATGAACCTCTTCTCAGAGTGTTTTCAAATGCATAAGAAGTATACATAGGAATTCAAAGGAAAGCAATGATATTAAACTAGTTTTCAAAATGTGTTGAAAAGTGTGATATAGCAATATCTAGTGTGATATAGCAAGTGTGATTATCTAGTGTGATAAAGTGTGATATAGCAATTAATGTATTAATATGATCTAATAACAGGCCTAATGATCACTGTAATGTGAGGTAGTAAATGAGTATAAATAATATGTTAATATCTTTGCAACAACTGTAATATATTTGGAAAATATCTGTGATGTCTACTGGCAACACGATCACAGGTATTGCCAATACTACTTGGTTTGTTGTCTCCATTTGTACTTGAAAAAAGTTTTTCTGTTACACTTCAGCAAAAATAAAGGCTGATCTAAATCAGCCTTGTCCTGATCTAAATTCGTGGGTTTCCTAATCTGCGGACCACAGGTTAAGAACCATACCCTCAAGAAAGCATCCTTTCCACCCCACACACACCCATGCCAGGCTGCTGACCCTGCACTTCACTTCTTATCTACATCTCTCTCTCTGAGCTTCCCCATTTGCTCCTAGCTCTCTCTGATTCCCGGTGCTGCCTACAGATTTCTGATGTCCCTGTGACTAAAAGAACAAGGGACTATGAGAGAGGGTTGGAAGAAACATACACATTTTTGTCTTTCTTCAAAGAAAAAAAAGAGAGCTATGCAGAATACAGAAAATCTGAGGACATGGGGGAAAGGAACCCAGGATAGGGTATCATTTATTCCCAAGAGGAAAAACAAATTATAAAAAGAAAACTTTATCAGTTAAGAAATGATATTTTCTAAGCCCTGGCTGACATAGCTCAGTGGATTGAGCTCGGGCTGCGAACCAAAGTGTCGCAGGTTCGATTCCCAGTCAGGGTACATGCCTAGGTTGCAGGCCATAACCCCCAGCAACCGCACATTGATGTTTCTCTCTCTCTCTCTCTCTCTCTCTCTCTCTCTATCTCCCTCCCTTCCCTCTCTAAAAATAAATAAATAAAATCTTAAAAAGAAACCCTTATTAAAAGATGAGTCTACTGATATTAAAAAAAAGAAATTATATTTTCTGAATTTATAATTTTGCTTAAATCAGCCCTAGAAAACATCTTTGATCTAGCTCCTTATTTCATATGTCTGTAAAGTGGGACAAAAAAAAATATATATATATACATATATATAGTACCTACGTCCTTGGTTTTTGTGAAGATTAACTTGGTTAATACATATAATAGATTTAACACAGTGCCTGACACAGGCACTGTTATTTTAACTACTATTTTTAACTACTATTTACTATTGTAACTACTATTATTATTATATTTCACATCTTGTATTCCAGAGCATTCCATGAAATTTTCTGGCATGATTATTTGTATTAGTGACATGTATAATAGCAAATTAAGAGTGATAAGGTGACTTTTTAAAAAAGATTTTATTTACTTATTTTTAGAGAAAGGGGAAGGGAGAGAGAAAGAGAGGGAGAGAAACATCAGTGTGTGGTTGCCTCTCACATGGCCCCCACTGGGGACCTGGCCCGCAACTCAGGCATGTGCCCTGACTGAGAATCTAACCAGTGACCCTTTGGTTCACAAACCACGCTCAGTCCTCTGAGCTACACCAGCTAGGGCAAGAGTGATAAGGTGATTAACCCAGAACACTTATTTTTCATTTAAATGCTTCAAAATTAGAATATTCCACTTCTCCTAGTTACATTTTCATTTCTCAGGTGGAGGGGCGGCAGGCAGAGGTGGAAGAACATCAGTGCCTCTTAAAGGGATTGTAAACTTGGAAAGAAAATTCTGCTACTCCTATTACAAAGGGCTAATTTCTATAATGCTGTAATATAAAGACCTCTTACAAATTAATAAATAAAGACTAGCAATCCTCATAGTGCTGGTGGGAGTGTAAACTGGCACAGCTGCTTTGATTATATTAGATTTATATAATCTAATAAAACTAAAGATAGGCATACTTGATGTCCCAGCAGTTCCACTACTGGATATATATTGCCAGAAAATGCAGAATTTTAAGTGTCAGTATTACTGTACAAGAATAGTTGTAGTCATAGCAGCATTGTTCCTCAGTGTCCCACACTGGAAACACACCCCCAATGTTTACCAACATAGTTGAATTGTCATATATTCGTACCACAAAAATTAATAAACTATGGTTATAGTCAACAACCTATATGTATTTACAAAGGTAATATTGAACACACAAAAGCAAGATGCAAAAACATATACACTATGATTCCATTTATATAAAGTTTAAAAGGAGGCAAAATTCAACTATATTGTTTAGGGATGTAATAGATAGGTGGTTGTAAGATTATACAGAAAAGGAAAGAAATGAACACAATAAAAGGTGAGCTCATGGGGCAGAGGTTGTTTTGTTTGATTGGGGTAGAGGTTGTTCTTAGAGACAGTGTTCTACTTTTTCACTAGGTGATGGGGACACACGTATTTGCTCTGTTTATTAAAATATGCAAAAACTTTAATATATTTTTCTGTATGTGTGATATATTTCACTATGAAAATATTTAAAAAATGGCATCTCTAGAAAAATGGACAAAGGACAGAAATTTTACAAGGATAGAAATAGGAATGGCTCTTAAAAGAATAAAAAGCTGCCCTGGCTGGTGTGGCTTAGTGGATTGAGCATGGGCCTGCAAACCAAAGGGTCGCTGCTTCTATTCCTCGTCGGGACACATGCCTCAGTTGCAGGCCAGGTCCCCGGTGAGGGTCACATGAGAGGCAGCCACACATTGATGTTTCTCTCCCTTTAAAAAAAAAAATGAAAAGTTGCTCAATTTGACTAAAAGACATGCATTTAAAGCTCCACTGAGATACTATTTTCATCTAACAGGTCATGAAGATAAACGTTTGCTAACACATTGTGTTGGCGATGGAGAGGGGGAAATCATTTTTTTACATCACTGGCAAAAATAGAAGTTATTCCAATATCTATGGAGATCAATTAGTCAATAGCCATCAAAATTATAAATGCAAATACCCTTTAATTCATCAATTCCAACTCTAGAAATT